TATTGTCCCGTCACGTTGTCACCCTCTTATATATACCAGACTACCCTATATCTAGTAATCTCCCGATAATTCCCGAAGGTTCGAAGAACGAGTCACGTGACCTCGCTGACGCAACAATTCACTGCACATTTTTGATGTATGTGTACAGGCCTAAACATAAAATAAACTGAAAACTACTTTCAATGAAGTAAGACTACTGAATACAATTTAAATATTCATCAGAAGTACGACAAAATATGTGATAATTTATGAAAAACATGTATTTGAATAAAAGCATATATCTTACCTTATGTATATTTCTCTGTTATTTAAGTTAGCTTTCCACTGTTCACACTGTAAAGAAAAATACTTTATTAGTTATTGCTATCCCAAATACTTAATAAACTCAAAAAAATTAATATTTTATACAAGTGGTAAGCAGAACTAGTATAGTATAAACTGTTTCTTCAGTTTATACATAAAATTGTGAATGCTTCTGACATTACAACTTTATTGAAAGATATCACTCCATGTATGTTGGTGATATGTGTGTGTGTACAGACTAAAACATAAAATACACTTAAAACTAATTTCAATAAGGGGAACCTTGTTTAAATATTCATCACAAGCAATATAACATCTGTGAATATTTATGAAAAATGTGATAATTTAATTTCTGCATAAAAGCACATCTTACCTTAGATGAGAATTCTAGTGCTCAGGCTTGTAGTATGGCATATAATTAATCAACTTCTAATGGTTGTGTTCAGGCTTATAAGAAGCTTGAATAAATGGCTTTCTACAAGTATATAAACATGTTTTTATTCACTTAAGAACCTTGAAATGTAGATTGCACATTAAAATAAATAAATACCACATGTGAAATGATGAGCATTCATATAACAAAAAAGGGAGGTGAACCAAGTAGGGCACTTAACAGACTATTGCCACAGCAAAGGTGGGAATATGCCTGAGCTCTGAATTCCAATAAATCTGGTTGTGAAGTTAGCTAGTGATAGGCCTAACATTTAACGTGTTAGAGTAAAACTAACAGTACAAAAGGATATAAGAATCATAATTTATTCCGTTAAAGCATGGTTCTAAAGTAATTGAATCAGCCTGAGTGCACTTTGACAAAAGGAACAGAAGATCTTCAGAAGAAAGAAGACCAAAAAATTATGGTAACTTGCACCACAATTGTAAATGATTCACACACAGAATACTAGTGTGATAGTAATATAGAAGATAGTTTGGCTTGTCAACTGAAATTCTAAAGCAACTGAATAGGCCTAAGTGGACTTTTGACAAGTAGAAGAGAATTACATATATAGTGTTTATGATAAGCCTATAATCTCTATAGTGTGAAGAATTTGTTGTACATATGTTTAACTTGTTCTGAATATATATATATATATTATTTTGAAAACAAGTGAAG